CTAAGGTATGTACCTTAGTTCGAATTGGGGGGTTAGTGTAGACCAGGCCTAAGAAGGATGAATTCAAACTGGAACAGGTATAGAGAAGGGCTACTAGGATGATCCGAGGAATGGAAAACCTGCCTTATGAAAGGAGACTCGAAGAACTCGGCTTGTTTAGCCTAACCAAAAGAAGGCTGAGGGGAGATATGATTGCTCTTTATAAATTTATCAGAGGATAAATACCAGGGAGGGAAAGGAATTATTTAAGCTTAGTACCAATGTGGACACAAGAACAAATGGATATAAACTGGACATTAGGAAGTTTAGACTTGAAATTAGACGAAGGTTTCTAACTATTAGAGGAATGAAGTTCTGTAACAGCCTTCCAGGGGGAGTAGTGGGGGCAAAAGACATATCTGGCTTCAAGACTAAGCTTGATAAGTTTATGGAGGGGATGGTATGATGGGATAGCCTAATTTTGGCAATTAATTGATCTTTGATTATTAGCAGTAAATATGCCCAATGGTCTGTGATGGGATGTTAGATGGGGGTGGGATCTGAGTTACTACAGAGAATTCTTTCCTGGGTGCTGGCTGGTGAGTCTTGTCCACATGCTTAGGGTTTAGCTGATCGCCATATTTGGGGTCGGGAAGGAATTTTCCTCCAGGGCAGATTGGCAGAGGCCCTGGGGGGTTTTCGCCTTCCTCTGCAGCGTGGGACACGGGTCACTTGCTGGAGGATTCTCTGCCCCTTGAGGTCTTTAAACCACGATTTGAGGACTTCAATAACTCAGACATAGGTTAGGGGTTTGTTACAGGAGTGGGTGGGTGAGATTCTGTGGCCTGCGTTGTGCAGGAGGTCAGACTAGATGATCATAATGGTCCCTTCTGACCTTGAAGTCTATGAGTCTGAGGTGTGCATTGTCCTCAACTGTACCACAGCTATACAGAGGGCTGTTCTGAGTCCCCAGGTATGGTCACTTGTGCAAACCTCCCCCCCTCCACCCCCCCCGCATCTGGAACAGTTGCGCTTTCACTAGAGACTGTGGCAGCGTGAAGCCCGGCACCCTCTCCTCAGTCTGAGTGATGAGGAAGGAGTTTCTGACAGAAGGAGCAGCTCATTGCCCTTCTGCTTGCCACAATGGGGCAGCGTCCGCTGGCGAGAATGTCGAGTGTGCTGTAGTTGACTATTGGGATGGGATGCCGGGGAGCTGCCGTAGTTTGCTGGGCTAGAGAATAAGCAATACAAACCCTTACGCCTTGGCAAATGTTAAAGTCCATTTTACAACTACCCCTGCTCAAAAGAGGGAGAGACTGAGGAGGTGTTTGCCGTCTCCAGAACCAAAAGCTTCGGCTTCATCCCATCTCCCTTTTCTTCCTGGGTGACCAAAACCCTCCCTGTCTCTCTGCTTGGCTGCGAAACCTTCAACTTCCCACTCCACTCTAAGGGATTTCCTTAAATTATCATGGAGGCTGCGCTTTGTCCTGCATCTGAGTCCTCCCGCTTGGACTCCACACCAAGCACTTTGGCGCGGAGCGCACCGCTGGCACGGGGCTCCGTCCAGCACCATTCCCCCTCACTGGTGCCTAAGAAGTGGAAAAAGAGAGCCCCCCAGCACTGGAAGGGAAAGGGGCTTTGGGCAAAGGACCGATGTCAGGCCATGTGCCCGCCCCGAGGCTTCACAGGGGTACTGCTGAGGTCAGACCCCCCCCCCCCAGCCCAGCCACGGATCTGCCTCCAGGGAGTGGCAGGGGACCCCCGCGTCTCCCAGGGCCCTCATTGCCTGAAGCGGCCCCGGGGGCTAAAGAACAAGTAGCCGACCGGCACTGCAGGCGCCGCATCAGGCGGCAGACTCAGCTAAGACCCCAACATCTAAGGGCAAGCTGATCATGGGACCACCTCGTAGGCAGTGGAATGCCCTCAGTAACCGTACTGTCACCACAGCCTTGGACCCCAGCACCGTATCCTAGGTCACTGACTAGAAGGCCCGGGTCTTCGACGCGCTCTCCACCTGCAAGACATGGGACACCGGAGTCGAGGCACCAGTCCCCGTACCACTGATACCGGCGAACTTCCCATCAGAGATCGCTGTGGCCCAGGTCACCTTCGCCCAGACGGTTTCCCGGATGTCAATCCCCGCCCAGGGTTGGGGGGCGCTCCTTGTCACAGCACCGATCCCTTCACCCTGCTGCTGTTTGTCAGGTAGGCGCCGTTCTTCGAGTGCTTGCTCATATCGATTCCAATTAGGTGTGTGCACGCCACGTGCACGATCGTCGGAGAATTTTTACCCTAGCAACACCCGGTGGGTCGGCTGTGGAGCCCCCTGGAGTGGTGCCTTCATGGCGCTGGATATATTCCCCAGCCGACCCAGCGCCCCCTCAGTTCCTTCTTACCGCCCGTGACAGTCGTTGGAACTGTGGAGCACGGCATAGCTGTCCTCCACTCTCCCTAGCTTTTAGATATTGTTGTAGTTATATAGTTATAGATTTATTGTAGTGCAGTAGTGGTTAGTTATAGATTTAAGTTTATAAGTGAATTTAGCGGGCTGGAAGGGGTCCCTCCCCCCCTTCCTCCCGGCGTGCCGCCCGGGCTCATGCCCAAGGCTCCGGGCTTTAAGCCATGCTCAGCCTGTTCGAGGCCTATGCCAACAGGAGATCCCCACGACTCTTGTTTAAAGTGTCTCGGGGAGTCTCAGCAGACCGAAAAGTGCAAGATCTGTAAGGCTTTCAGGCCTCGAACCAAAAAGGAGTGGGACTTTAGACTCAAACAGCTCCTTATGGAGGCGGCCCTCAGCCCGGACCCTCCTTCGGCACGCCAAGTTCCGGCACCGAGTGCCTCAGTGCGCAGTGCTCCGGCGGCGACTTCCAGTACTGCACCACGAGGAGACGCGGATAGAGTCCCACGGCACCGGCCTTTGCCAGCACCGCATCCTCCGCAAGCACCTCGGCGCCGGTCCCTGTCCCCAGGTCAGAAGAGACCTCGCAAACCGGAGGGGGCTGCCTCCCAACAACAGGCACCGGCACCCCCCTTACCAACCTGAGATGTGCGTCCGGGACCAGAGCGACCGAGGATACAGGTGCCGATATCGACACCGTTGACTCCGGCACCAGCAGAAGGGCCATTGAGTCTGGTGCGGACTGGCTCCCCGACCCGCACCGTCTTCCATCGACGCAGGAGACGTTTGCGACGGCGAGGGACCGCATTGTCCTTACAGAACCGGCACCGACTCAGGCTACGGTACTGCATCCCACCCGTGTGGTGCAGTCTAGGGGCAAGCCAGCCCTATTACGTTCACTATCTCCGAGCGTGGACTCTCGGCACCGCTCCCGATCTAGAAGTAGGTCCCGGCGCCGCTCGCAGTCCCGGCACCGTTCTCTATCACGGCACCGGTCGTACTCGCCACCCAGATCTTCCTCCCGGTACCGTTTCGCCTCGCGGCACCGCCCCGGACCTTGGTACCGTTCGGACTCTCGACGCCGCTCCCGGCACCGGTCAGAGCGCCGATCCCGCTCGAGAAGCCACTGCCAGCACCGCTCCCGCAGACGGTCTTCATCGCGATCCAGGTCTGGATCTCAGTACCGGCATGACCATCGGCAACATTCTTGATCCCGGTACCGCTCCCCGGCACCGCGTAGAGACCGCTCTCCTGTGGGCCAGCACCATTCGGCACCGTTCCCAGCGGAGTCAATGCACGCACGCTCCGCACTGCCCTGGCCCTCACAATCCGCCTCACGCTCTTCCCAGTCAGATGGCACCTCCCGCTCAGCCTATCCCACACTGGGCCAAGCAGCGGACAACCTAGGTCACTGGCAGGATGAGGCCGAAGACCCTAGCCAGGAGCCTGCACAGTGGTCTTTCTGGACCCCGTGGGCGTACCACCAAGCCCAAGGGGTTCCACCTGCGGCCTCCTGCTCAGCACATTCAGAGTCCCGAGTACTGGAGGCCACCATCAGTCGTTCCCCCCTCGGGGGGTATGGAGGCACCTGCGCCCACTCCTAGGCAGGCCCCAGACCCCGGTACAAGTGATCCTGAACATCAGGGCCCCTTGTAATTGGACCCGCCACAGGATCCATTAGCCCCGGTAGCATCTTCCTCATCTTCTCCAGATGAGGCGGTGGCGGGGACAACGAGCTCGGGTCCCCCCACCCCCCGATAGACCTACGTGCTCACCAAGACCTTTTACGTAGGGTGGCAGGTAACATGGACCTCCCAGCAGAAGAGATAGTGGAGTTGGAGGACCCAGTAGTGAGCACTCTCCTGTCGATCACTCGTTTTCAGACTATGGCAAACATCATCCGCAGCCTCCAAAGCTTCCCGACTTCCACGGTACTGACTTGCCTCGGCCTTCTGGGGCACATGGCGTCATGCACTTACGTAACCAGGCATGCCAGACTTCAGCTCCGCCCGCTTCAGGCCTGGGTATCAACGGTGTATCGTCCGGGTCGGGACAGCCTGGACATGGTGGTCACGGTTCCGGAGTCCGTTGTGTCCTCCCTCAGCTGGTGGCTGAGCCACACGTTGGTGTGCGAAGGGAACCATTTCACGCCCCACAACCTTCCCTATACCTTATCACAGACGCATCATCTCTGGGCTGGGGCACCCATATCGGGGAACACCAGATGCTGGGCCTTTGGACCGCATCCGAACTAACTCTGCACATCAATGTACAAGAACTGATGGCAGTAAGCCTAGCATGTCAGGCGTTTCGCGGTCTCCTACATGGCTGTTGTGTGGCAGTCCTCACAGACAACATCACGGCCATGTTATCTGTAGAATCAAGACTCAATTGTGGATTGATTTACACTTAATGTACATTTTAAAAGTTTCCACAAAACCATGGGGCTAGAAACATTGTTTAAATGAGAGATTCTGGAGCACAATGCTGCAGCCAGCAGGGAATTTCATGGCAAATTCTATGGCTGTGGAATTGCAGAACACAGACCTGTTACTAATGCTCCTTTTGCCTCCCCGTTGCCTATTCCGGAGCACTATGCTTTCACTTTGTTTCGCTTTCCTAGGTTCTGGAGAAGGAAGCTAAGATTCAGGAGCTGCAGGAGATAATCACAGACCTTCACCATGAAATTTCCCTGAAGGACTCGGAGGCAGTCAATCAACTGGAGGAGAAGCACCTGCTGGAGACCACAGTGCAATCCCTCAGGCAGATCGTAAGTGAAAGCTTTCTCTGCCCTCCATTGTCTTTGGTTGCATTTATTTGCAGTGTGGCCCCAATCAACTCCCTTCATGCTATCGCCTGTCACTTTCTCACCTCTTTTACCTGGGCTTTCGTCTTTTCCCTGTAGAAGCAGGCTTGAATTTAACTCCATACAAATAAAGTATCAGGAGCTGTAGCATTCTGCAGCTTGGGCCTTCCCTCTCTAGAAACGTAGGTTCTCATTTTCAGAGGTGCCGAGCATCCATAATTCCAGATGAAATTTATAGGATCTGAAACTTTGCATCATCACTTTTGAAGATCAGAGTGTCTGTCCTCTTCAGAACACACCTCATCTCTTCTAGCTTGAGCTCCTCCTAGACGATACACATGCTACATAGCTAATGCCCCAGCTAGGCACTGGAGGCTGCTGTGCTTAGTAGCCTGGGCACACTCTGTAGTGATCCTTTTGGCAGTGGCCAGGAAGACAATGAGAGTGATGCTGATCGTTCTGGTTTCCTGCAGCAAGAGGGAATTTCCCCATGGTCCTCACCAAGTTAGACTGTTTCAGTGCTGCTCAGCCCATCCTTATTTAGTTATACAAAAAGAGGTGTGTGTCTGAAAACCCTGGGTGTCCCGCTGCGTTAGCCGAACATATCAACTACTTGCTAACCAAGCATCCACTCCACAACAGCCCCAGCAACTCCCCGGTAGCAGACCAGATCAGAACGCCCACTCGTCATGCAAATCTTCAGCTCCATCAAGTGCCTTTCTCAAAAGACTTGGCTCCATACTAGCTGATAATGACAGACCTCAAAGGCCAGAGTGTGAGTTCAGAGCCTTAAGATCACATGTCATGGTGAGGAGGGATGTGCGTGTACGCATGCAAGCATATCATAACAGTATATTGTGACGGACTCAGGCCAGAAGGATATAAGAGGGTAGTGGAAGGCAGGTAGATCAGCCTCAGAATGAGCAGAGCCCTGTTCCCTGGATAGACAAACAAGGGCTACCAGGCCAATCAAGACACCTGACGCCAATTTAGCCAGTTAAGGTCGTTAGGCTAATGCCGGCACCTGACCTCAATTAACTGACAGAGGGTCAGGTAAGACTGTTAGGCTAATGGAGACAGCTGGAACCAATTAAGGTCCCACTTATACTGCTTTAAAAGCTCTCCTTTCCAGTTCTCTCGCGAGGAGCCCAGGTGAAAGTCGCTGGAGGAGAGGAAGCATTACTGTACCCTGAGGTAAGGGTGAAGCTTGGAAGAGGGGAGTACGGGGAAGTGGCCCAGGGAATCAAAGCAGCGTCAGTGGAGGAGGGAAGCTGCTAACAGCTGCTATCATTAGGGTCCCTGGGTTGGAACCCGGAGTAGAGGGTGGGCCCGGGTTCCCCCCTTTCTTCCTCCCCTCCCATGATCTACAGAGATCCCTTTGAAAGGGGAAACAGACTTGTATCCAGGCAGGAGACCAAACTGTGCCTAAGGAGCTCTAAGGAGCAACAGAGACTGTGGGTATTCCTCCTTCCCACCTCCCATACAGGCCTGTGGTGAAAGTAGCTCAATAAGCTGTAACCTTTGCCACCTCACTGGGAAAGGGAGGTCATTCTGAGGGCCGCAGTGAGCTTCTGAGGCCACTATATCCGCCAGGAAGCGCGGGACCCACCAACACAGGCTTGGAGCTTTGTCACAATATTTATTAAGTCAGGTCATTATTAGTAATGATTACTCGGGTGTAATCACAGAGCTGCACAGCACCTCACAGAACAAAGACCAGCTCTGGGCCTGAGTCTCCCCTCTTTACTACCAGATCAGAAGGACTACACAAAAAGAGGGGTATTTTACACCCATTCTGCACAGGAATACACAACTGCATAAGGCATGGAGAATCATGCCCAGAGCCCCTGCCCCCAAAGAACACCAGCAGGAAACAACAACACAAGGGGTTCTAGGACAGAGAAGACAAATGCACCTTTGCATCAGAGGGAAATGCAGTGTTGGGTTTTGGTTTTTTTATTCTCTCTGTTTTTTGTGAAGTTTCTGTCACCTTGGGCTTTAGGCAGTTAAGTTAGAGCTAATGTATGGTATTGGGCCTCAAGTGCCACAGATTGCAGACATCTGGTGCTCTCTAATCTTGAGTTTCTAATATTATCACAAAAAACTTAAATTTGCCAGTGAGAGGAACTTCAGAAATTTGCCAAAATGGTTTGTATGTCTCTGTGGCAGCCATTGTCTTCCCCTGCTGCCCCTGGATCATTGCAGGTGCCACTTGCACTGCCCATCTTCCCCCTTCCCTGGACCAGCACGCCCATGACCTGTTTCCCACCAGTCACCCAACCCAGCAGTGTTACTAGACAGGCACAACAGGGAGAAACAGGTGAAAGGACTTTTATGGGAGACCATGCAGGGTAATGGATTAGGCTTGGGGTGAGGACTCAGTCATCAGTTTTGGTACTGAATTGTTATATGACCTTGAGCAAGTCACTCATCCTCTCTGAGCCTCCATTTCTTCATTTGTACAAAGGAGCTGCTAATCTTGTGGAACATGGTTACATGTTGGAAGTGTCAGGGTCGATGGCGTGGAACTAGAACTCAGGACTTCACAGCTCCTGGCACTGAGCTCAAGCCACTTAGACAATGTTGATTTTAGGGCATCCCACCACTCCAGGAGAAGAGAGCTTATGAAGCATGTGCCATGTGTGCTCTGGGACTTCCATGGAACTCCTGACATGCATGTGAGCCACTAAATGTCCACTAATGAGCCGAAGGTACCTGGCCCCACCTAGGCTGACAATCAGTAGTTTATAGACCAGTCCATGTTTGGAGTGATCTGATGGAGGCCCTAGCTTTGTGGGCAGACTGACTGCCTCTTCTATTCCTTCTTAGTGCTGGATGGCCCGAGTTCAGTGTCTGGAGCTGATCCTCTCTCTTCTTCCTGCAGATATTCAAAGCTATATATTATTCATGGTGACTGGCTTTGTTAAACGGTCCTAACTAAGCAGTTGTTGTGCACCTTGCAGTGCCTATTTTTATATTCATTTCATTTTGTTCTCATCATGTTTTCAGTGTGCCATCGATTTTATATTGAATATATGTTCATTGTACAGATTTATCCAGGGGGAGCAGGGTAGGAGTCTGTTGGGTTTTGGGTATCTAGGAAGTTGTGGAGATGGTTTGGAGGTGGGATGGTTGGGGTTGTGTGGAATAAGCACACTAGCTGGCTGTTTCTCGTGAAAGCATCAGTACTGAAATAAAGTTGTCATTAGGTTTCACAGTGAACAAGCTAGTGATATTAATGAGGCAATTCATATCTTTTGGAGTATGGTTTCAGGCTGCCTGCAAACCCCAAAAAAGGATACTATCTCCATTTATATTCAGCCCACATTGTTATAGGTTTCCTCACAACCAACAGACTAGAAACATTTCTCTTGGACTGACATCAACTTGACAGCATTTCTCTGCTTCTCTGTCTGGAAAATGATAACTTTTGAATGCCAAAGCTACGCAAGTCCAAAATTTTAGGAAATGTTCTAGTTATCAATGGGCAGATCCCTATTGAATTTGGGGAAAATCAGAAAATCGAAAGAGGGAAATGTGGGACACAGAGCCCCTGGCATCTGGTCACTAGAGCGATCAGCTTAACTATGTCTGTGATTGTCTGTACATCACAGATCTGTTAGAGAGACAAAACGGGTGAGGTAATAGCTTTTGTTGGACCAACTTCTGTTGGTGAGATGGACGCGCTTTGGAGCCACATGGAGCTTCTATGGGTCTGAGGCTGAAGAAGGGCTCTGTGTAGCTTGAAAGCTTGGTCAAATAAAAGCACTAAAGATGTGCTAAAGATTCATATGTCCCTTCATGCTTCAGCCACCATTCCAGGGGACACGCATCCATGCTGATGATGGGTTCTGCTCGGTAATGATCCAAAGCAGTGTGGACCAAAGCATGTTCATTTTCATCATCTGAGTTAGATGCTGTGATAAATAAAGTGGGGGGTAGCTCCCTTTGATGGACACCCAGCCAGCCAGTTAACTGTAAAATCCCTCTTGGTAGCTGTTCTCTACTTGCTTTACCTGTAAAGGGTCAAAAAGTCCCCCAGATTAAAAAAAAAAAAAAAAAAGTGGGCACCTGACCAAAAGAGCCAATGGGAAGGCTAGAACTTTTTAAAATTGGGAAAGAAACTTTCTCTTTGTCTGTTGTTCTCTGGGCTGCAGGGACACAGAGCAGCAATGCTATACGCAGGAATGCTGTGTAAGCTTTGAACCAGGTATGAAAAATTATCTACCATACCTAGAAGGAATCATTTGGATAGGGAATGTTTAGATAGACGCGATCAGATTTATTTCTTTATTTTGGCTTGTGGATCTCCTCTGGCTAACCCCAGATGCTTTTGTTTGCTTGTAATCTTTAAGCTGAACCCCCAAGAAAGCTATTTTGGGTGCTTAATTTTTTTGAATTGCTCTTTTTTAAAATCTAGTAAAAGCCTAAGTTCCAGGTGTATTTTCTTCATTTTTGTTTTTAATAAAAAAAAATTTTTAAGAACAGGATTGGATTTTTGGTGTCCTAAGAGGTTTGTGCATATGCTGTTTGATTAGCTGCAGGCAACAGCTAATTTCCTTTGTTTTCTTTCTCAGCTCTTCCCCAGGAGGGGTGTGTGAAAGGTCTTGAGGGTACCCCAGAGGGAGGAATTGCCAAGTGCTCCTTGCTGGGTCCAAGGGGGTTTTTTGCATTTGTGCGATGGCAGTGTTTACCAAGCCAAGGTCAGAGACAAGCTGTAACCTTGGGAGTTTAATACAAGCTTGGAGTGGCTAGTATTAATTTTTGGAATCCTTGCGGGCCCCACCTTCTGCACTCAAAGTGCCAGAGTGGGGATTCAGCCTTGACAGATGCCACCAGCAGAAGGTTGATTTTCTTTTTTGATGGTTCGGGTTCTGTAGTTTCCACATCAGAGTGTTGTTCTTTTAAGACTTCTGAAGGCATGCTCCGCACCTCGTCCCTCTCAGATTTTGGACGGCACTTCA